GAGCCATAGTTGGCACCATATTCGGTCTCCGTCACGAAGCCCATGCCGATGCCCTTGTTAGCAGCTTTGATGCCGTAGGTTGACTTGTACTGCTTTTCTGAATTGCCTTCCAAGTGGCAATTTTGCGCACAAGTCAAGGGGTCAGGGCACAAGCTCTGGTCAAAGTCACCATCCTTGTAGCAGTTTGTGTATTCACCATTGTGGAGCCAGCGCCAGTTCGCATCCAAGACTATTGACTTTGTCTCCTTGGAGCAGCCAGAACTGTCGCACGTCCACAGTGGCATTTCTGGATGAAACTCCTCCACGTGGACACCTGGCTGCTGTGCCCAGGCACAACCAACTGCAGCAAGAATCCTCAGCATCTTGAAGAGTGCAGAAAATGTCTTCAGGTCCTTTGGCACCAAAATCAAGGCACTTTGAGCCCAAATGACAAACCTTTAGGTAGAAGAGTCTGAGCTGAACTGACAAAATCCACTTGATACTCACTATATAGAGATGGCTCCAATCATCTCAGGTAACGCTCTCTTTTCACTGGAACTGGTGCCTTCAAGCACGACCTCTGAATTCCAGTGTCTGGGAGTTGCACGACAGCATCCACCTCAACCGCACCTTGGTAGGGAACAAACCTATACTTATATAGTCACTCTGGTCTGTTCAAAAAGTTCCTGATATGATGGGGAGTGAGATGGAACGAGACAGAAGCAGCGTTTTTTGGCTGGAAGATGGGCATGAATTTGCAAAACACTGAAGTTGGGCTTTGGTTTTCAAGAGGGCTCAGACCTTCTGAAGATTATATCTTCTGAAGACTATACCAGTATATGCCTGAGCCTATTTTGAGATTGAGTGCCGTGCTCCGCGGCATGCAAATATCATGTATATTTATCGGTATATATATATATATTACACTTAAAAAGTGTGTATACTGTGTATAGAAATAGTGTACGAATTAGATATATAAATATGTATATATACCTGAGAAGGGAGGGGACAAAAGCCAGCCGCCGTGAGAGATATCAATATGGTGATGGAGGGTGACTGCGAGGTGCCCTTATGCATCTGGTCAACAGGCCTCTTCACCATAAAAAAAGGCACCCCCAAGCAACTCAAAGCTTGCCCGCTGCATTCTGTTCCCTCCCTGTTCTCAATGGATCACACGTTTCTTGCAATCCCTCTTTTCCTATCTATCACGTCCTCCTCCGCTATCCACATGAAGATCTCTTGCTTGCCCGCTGCAATCTGTTCTCTCTCCTGCCCTCAATGGACCGCATCATTGCATGAACTAAGCCCCTCATGATGCTAATGACGCACTATTCGATGTCAATTACATCACTTGCATCACAACACCCCAAAAACCATACACGTTCAATCCCAATCGTGCCCGCTTCTTTTTTCGCTCTCCCCCACCAGGCTTTGAGTTAGCCCTCCGAAATTGACCCCCACCCCCCACACCCCCTTTACTCATTTCGCTCGCCCAACCCAACTTCAGCCTAGCCTATCGTGACAATATTATACTATTGAGTCAGGTGCTTTGGGCTCAAATGGCTTCACAAAAGCCGAGAGAGACAGAGATAGAAAGAGAAAGACGAGATCAACATGGCAAATGTCCGTTGAATCTACAGTATCTCTGGAGTGTCTGGGGAGCGCCTCTGCGGCGGAATCTGGCAAAGAACAAAATAGTTGAGCAGCTGCCTGAGCCAAGCAAGGTGAATGTTTAGGCTCCGGCAATGGGCATCCAGGTACTTGTTGATGGCAAGCACGGTCTCATCGGGGAAACGCCTTAGATTGAGGTAACGGGGATGTTGCAAACGCTCAAAGGCACTACTGAGATCGAATTCAAAGGCACTAACAACTTGAAGAACCAAAGCCAAACAGACAAAAAAGAATTGTGCCAGGGTTGCAGATTGGCCAACCAAACAATCTCTGTGCCCCCCAAAAGGGCAGGTTCCACCTGAAGTCACGGGGCCCAAGCGGGTGTGGCACAATCAGTGTCAAAACTCACTTGGGATTAATCAAAAGTATATCAGTAAAACCAACAAATGGAGCATGCATGGCCTAGCGCACTGACATGTTGATTCGCTTAGACTACTGACTACGCTGAGGTCAAATATAAATATCGATCCTGGTGGCATCCATTTCAAAAGGAGTGTCGAGATGGCAGTAATTATAAATGAGATCAACTTTGCGGACTTTGTTTTGTAATTGTATTGTCTTCACTCAGAGAGCATGTTGAAGAAGGAATTTGAACAATTCTCATGGAAGGAAACGGATGCAATCTAAGTTTTGCACGTGTTTCTTTTGCTCAGGTGACTTGTAAGGAGGAGGAGCAACCAATTGCAGGTATACTTTTTTGAACTAACTTATCGTCCGTCTGCCTGCAGGATATCGCACTGCTGGAAGTGAACAACATCTTGAAGTGCATCGGGCAACCGGCTCCTGCAGAAGTACAAGTCACTTGCGTTGAAGTCCGCTAAACGTAGTGTAAGTTCAGCAAGCCCGTTTGCCAAATGTAAGGTGTGCACACATTGGACCGCTGAAGAAATCTGCAAGATTTGGGATACTCCAAAACCATGCAGGGTAGTTCCAGGTTGGCTCAAAAAAACGCATCCATAAGCTTGGACACCCAGGCCTGTTCTTGACAGCAAGCTGGTGTCGTGACCTAGGAATGTTCAGAGCCGGTGGAGGGAGTCGCTACCATACAACTAGTTGGTACCACCCTTCAGCGAGAACTGTCTAGCAAGTATCCGATCAACTATCAGCTGCATCTCAAATGGCGAAATTCAGGAAAGCATTTGTCCAAGCAAATCCAGATTATGGTATTCCAGGATTCCAGGCTGCATGTACATCTTCTATAGCTGGTAACTGATAGAATCTGGGAATCACCGAGCCATAGTTCCAAGACGAGCCCATGTACCGCAACCATGGGCACCCGACATTGATAGCTCCACTCCCAGTGACTCACTTAAGCTCGGCACCTCAGGGCATGGGTTGAGTCAAGTGTTCAAAAGCCGGGAAGCCGAGGGAGGGCGAGGAAGGGGTAGGCCATAAGAGCAGGTCTGTAAGATGCAGAAGGGCTCAGGCTCAATCCTAGATGTTTGGCCGGAGCAAAGAATTCAAACATGCAAAGAAGCAAAAAAGCAAACCAACAAAAGCGAAGCGAACGCAACATACTAGGACTAGGAGGCGTGTCACATATGAACCCACAGTTGGGCGGATATCCACGTGTTAAAGCCCAGGTAGGAGTTATTCTGGGGACGAGTTGCTTTCGACATTGTTGGTGTGTATGGTGTATTCTTTCAAAGTTAACAGTCTCGATTCAATTTGCAGCGGTTCGCACATGGACAGGTCCTCAGGTATCATTTTGCTGGATTTGGCAGAGTTCGCACATGGACATTCAATGTTCATAATGATTGGGGGTATCGTTGTTTTTGGACACTATCGTTCTCCAAATAAAACTCAGAACGGATGCCAGGTCTTTCTACAAAGCAATTGACAATAGTTTTGAAAACTACTGTGCATATGATGTCGTCCTGAGAATCTGACTACAAATCTAATTGAACACTCAGCAAAGGATGACGCAAGTGATCATCTGCATTCATGTTCAAAGTACACGGGTACTTCCTGAGTCCCTCACCAAAACAGCAGCAGCTATCACTGCACGGCCATCACCGGAGCCTCATGGAACAGCCCGTCCTTCGCTTCTCCCAAACATGTGTAGTGCGATCTTGGAGGCTGCCAGGCTAACTCCTCTTGTTACTAGTAGCGATGGCCTCCACCTAGTAGCTTCTTGTTGCTATCGAAAGCTTCACTCTCCCGTCGTTAACAAAGCTTCCGAATTCAAACCAAATGCAGTGCACAACCACTGTGCTCTGTGGTGACACTGTTGGCATTCCAGTGCTTTGAGTCTCACGTCATGTTAAGTTTCCCTTGAAACCTGTGTGAGCGTGAGCTATCCTGCGTCCATACGTAGTAGCTTAAGTAGCTAGTAGCATACTCCCTTACTTAATTAAGTAGGCACCTACTCGATTAAGTAGGAGCGAGCTTTCAATTAAAGTCTCATGTCATGTCTGTTTAAAAAGGATCCATGGCTGGGCATCCCTCGCCGAGATCCAAGAACCGCTTTGCAGCGAGTGCCTCCCAGGTCCGTCGACTTGATGAGGGAAGCGGTTCAATCGTACTTGAAGAATTCTTTTCACAGCTTCTTCACCCCACACTATTCAACATAGCTTGTTGCACTGAAAAAGGCGAGTTTTCTGCATACAGGAAGTTCTTTCACACATCTTGGCCCCGCCAAACACTGAGGGATCCCCAGACGCAAGACCGGTGGTACAAAGTAGAGGAATCGACCAAACTTGTGCTCTCTCCACGCCAGCTTCATTGGTCCAAAGGGCTGAAAACAAAAAAAGAACAGGGCCGATTCTTTCATCCGATGTTTAGGGTGAGCGCTTTAGGGTCCAAGCATGTGCTATCGAGGCTTTTGACGCTTTCAGATCTTGTCAGCACATAGCAAACTACTAATCACCCGTCAAAGCACCCAGGGCACCTACAGTGGCCACATGTAAAAATCAATTGTCTGCCAAGCATGCTCAGTGCGTTCTCACAGCAACCACAGCATATTTTGTGTCCTTCTGTGAACTTTATGATGCATGACAAAAATGTTCCCTAGTAGAACAAGTCTGGGATCCTCGGTGTGTCGCTCCTTCTGGATCGGCAACCCAGGTTCAAACTTCTGCGCAATGCCTGCAGTCTTTGCCATCTGCAAACCCCAGGGTTTTAACAATGTCCACAGGGAAACAGCAAAACTGGCATCCAAAAAAAATGCATCTAAAATGATGGGTGTCAAGCTCAAGTCTGAACCACCTTCCAACAACTTGCTCATGCCAGAGAAGTGGACGAAGCCGTAAGTAGCAAGCATCCCCACATGATCCTTGGGATTGTGCCATCTCAACTCATGGTGGGCCGACGGACCGAAAAACGTATCACAACAGCAACAAAGATCTCAGAGACTTGCGATGGATTGAAGTTTCTCTCTCCCACTCTCTCTCTCTCTCTTTCTTTCTCGTTCCCAGTGTTGAATCGCTCCAAAGATCTCAAAACCTGTCAAACAAGCTGCTACGCAAGCAACAAAGATCAGAAAGCAACAGCCAAGAGCACACCACTCTA